AATATTTATTTTGAAATGTTTGGAATGACCTGCAAAGTAAGCCCAATGAAGAGGCGTCATCATACGCATATCTGTAGCATTGATATTAATTCTTTGTATGATCAGATATTCAGCCACTTCCTTATTGCCTGAAACATCAATGAAATGAATTTAATACTTTGACGCATTGATCGTACACATATAATGTTAATTATTTTTTTAAAAAAATGAAAAAATACCAAGAAAAGCTGCGATATGTAAAGGTGTAAAATTTATGTTGTTTGTAACGTTAACATTAGCTCCATGTGCGATTAGACTTTTGCAAATCTTCAAATTTCCTGAAATTGAAAAGAATCAACTTTTATTTATAACTCAACAGAAAGAGAAAATATATACCATTCATGGCAACCATGTGTAAGGGTGTATTTCTATCAGAAGTTTCGGCAGTTACATTTGCTCCGTGTGCAATTAAATATTCAACCGTGTCATTTGAGCCTGAAATATTAAGCAGATGATCAGTTAGCTTGAATCCTCTAAAATTAAGTCTAGTTTCTGAACATATAGGCACTTACCATAGACAGTGGCGTAATGGAGTGCTGTCAACTGTTCAGCATTCACGTCTTTAGCATTCACGTTTGTTCCATTTGCGACTAGGATTTCGCATATTTCCAAATTATCTGAACGTTAATAAAGTAACATTGATTAGCTATGTGCGCGCAGATAAGAAATTGTTTATTCAAAATTATGCATAATTACCGAACATTGCTGCTATATGAAGTAGAGTCATTCGTTTCTTGTTTACATAGTTCGCATCAGCTCCATATTCAATGAGAATTTTAAATATCTCAGTTTGGCCTGCAGAATATATCAAATTCTTATGAACAAATCCATTTCTTTTCAATTCACAATTGAAAAATACCTTCAGCAACAGCCAATTGAAGTGGTGTTAATATGGAAATTTTTTCATTGAATTCATTCACATTTGCACCATTATCGATTAGAAATGTGACTATATCGACTTTGCCTAGATTTAATGAACGGAGTTTATTTTAATTTGATTATGGACTATTGAGTTTGAATATTATTCCGAACATTTATTTATTTAATTTATTTATTTTTTTGAAGAAACATGCACAATTAATTCTATTAAAATTAAAATGGAAAATAATTAAAAACCATTGTGGTTATATGAAATGATTCAATTAAAGGAACATTCATTGTCTTCGACTAACCTGATTTAATGGCCTTGTAAATATATTTACTGCCATCAGTGGCGTTGTCATTAGCTGAGAAAATGATTGAAAACATTGACATAATTCATATCAGATTTGTTACTAGGCGTGTTGAAGTTTCGGTATTTGATTTATCTTCGCATAAAATTACCTTGTACACTCGCACCGACGAAAAAAACGATCACAAATATAAATTTCATCATCTTATTTGGTTGGATTGAACAATTTACGAATGTGGGAATGGAATAAAGGGATTTATTAACAATTTGATTCAATTAAGTTACACGCGAACACTATTCTTATAATAAAATTGAGAACCGAAATGTAAAACTGCGGAAATAATCTTGCACATCAGAATGATCACTTGCTGTGTTTAATCTCCATATTTATAGCAAAGACACGAGGTTAAATGATTGTGAAATAATCTCATTTTCAATTTTCAATATAATGGTCTGATTTTTAAATTTATGTCAAAACAACCAATTAGATTTGTCCACATTTGCTACAGAAAGCCAATTGCTTTAAAATATTTAAACAGTGATAAGATATTTTACTTTTGTGTGTGAGCACAGCGTTGTATGTGCGAAAGGGTTAAACATTCGCAAAAAAGAGCCTTACAACAGAAAAACGAACTTTTCCTCATAAGGTGGTCCATAAGTATTTTATTAGACAAATTCAAAATAAAATTTGTTCGTATTTTCAAGCTTTTCAAGCAGAATCATAAAGTTCGAGGCCAAAAAGTATGTTGTGGATTGAAATATTTTAAAACTTAATAAAATTAAAAAAATAAATTAATAAAACGAAACATGCTAGAGTACTCGCAAAAGTTTTCACATTCTTTCTCATTTGAACAAAATTATCAAAACAGTTTCTTATTTGGATTTATTTGTTTTATTATTTATTATTTGGACGAGCATTTGATTTAATTATGTAGTTTATATGAATGGAACTAACTCATATAAAAACAAATGACGGTGTACACGTCCATTTAACGTTAAAGATAAGCGTCACGTTATTTTTTGTTAAAAAATTGTTGTCGAATAAAAAAAACACGTTGTAAATAATATTTTAAGAGCGTGACGGCTTAAAAATTATTTTAGAACAAAAATCAGTTGATTTGAGTGCTGTTGCATTGACATGTATTCTATAGCGCTTGCTCCTTTCTGGTTTAACCAAAAGAGTGGAAGAATGACAAGGACAGCGTATGACGTTGAACGACGCTCACTGCGTTAGAAGAGAGCAAGCGCTATAGACTATATGTCAATGCAACAGCACTCAAATCAACTGATTTTTGTTCAAACAGAATTTTTAAACCGCCACGCTCCTAAAATATTATTTACATCGTGTGTTTTTTATTCGACAACAATTTTTTAACAAAAAATAACGTGACGCTTATCTTTAACGTTAAATGGACGTGTACACCGACATTTGTTTTTATATGAGTAAACATTGCATAAAAATAAAGAGTCTTACGGGAGTAAGACGAACTTTTCCGCACGGTGGTATTTGCGTATTTTATTAAGCAAGTTCAAAATAATATTTGTTCCATTTTTCAAGCCTTTCAAGCGGCGTAAAGTTCGAGACCAAAAAATATGTTCAAACCTTGGCATCGAATTATTCTTTAATTTAATAGCAGAAGAACTCGAGAAAAGATTTTTCACATTTTCATGATGAACCCATTTGTACGACATTTGAAAGTATTCTATTTTCTAATAAAACACTATAAAAAAATATGTCTGACGTCAATTTTGCCTTAAAAATTATTATTGAAACACTTTTCATAACTAAAGTCTCAAAAAATTTGGATTTTTGTATGGGAGCCATGTCTGTATGCTATCTTAATGTTGTGAAACTTTGCACAGGTTTTATGGGAGGTCCCCTATTATGCATTGAAATCTCTTCAAATTTTCAAAGTTTCACACCATTAAGATATTATACAGACATGGCTCCCATACAAAAATTCATTTTTTTTTTGTGATTTTTTCAAGGAAACTGTATCAAAAATTGATTGTACAGTGAATCTAATTTTTTTGATAGACAAAATAACAAGCCAAGTAAGCAGAGAAACTCTCCACTAACATAGGATTCATATGCGAATGGCGTGTGAGTGGAGTGTGTCATGCAAAATTTTGTCTACCAAAAATATTAGATTCACTGTATATCAAAACCAAAGCA